CTGGTACCCCACAGGCCATGTGGCAACTTTGTATCTCCACTGAATTGCCCTCACAGCACGCAGTACCTGCATTCAGACCATATCACACCAATCATTCAAGCCTGCTCAGCCACAGAGCTGAAGCTGCACCAAGGCACCCAGAAGAACCCTTCTCTTAACTATACTAATTTGATCAGCACACATAATATGTATGTTTTGAACTATCTCAATATGCTCATACATATTAAGAATGATGACTAGTCAATTTATTATTTTATTTACCTTACATCTTTATTGTAACCCCATGCCTCCTCCCCTTCCAGTCCCAGAGCAGAGATTGAGGGAATGTCCAACCAATGCCTGGCTCAACCAATGACCCATCCTATCAGAGAGTGCCAACCCCTGACACTGAATGATGCTCTGTTAAATTAGCAGACAGGAGTCTCACAGAACTGTTCTCTGAGTGGCACTATCCAGAAGTGCCTCAAATTGACTAGATGACTAGTCAATTTTTAATTTAAGGATAAGATAAAAAGGAGGGACTAGAAAGAGGAAGAAAAATAAGGAACAAATAAAAAGAAAATAAAAGAAAAGGTTTGCAAGCTCTCTATTAAGAGATAAATCAAGACAAGATTTGAAAGAGAAAATGTGAAAACCAATGATATAGTGAGCTGCACAATGATATAGTGAGGTATTCCAGCAGGAGAAAAACACACATGGTATATACTCACTTATAAGTGGATATTAACCATGTAATATAGGATAAACATACTAAAATCTATATTTCTAAAGAATCTAAGTAACAAAGACGACCCTAGGGAAGCTCATTCACAAGGGCAAACAGGACAGACATCAGAAGTAGGAGAAGACAAGGAACAGGAGAGGAGCCTTCCACAGAGGACTTCTGAAAGACTCTACCCACAGGGTATCGAAAGAAATACTGAGACCCATAGCCAAACTTTGGACAGAGGGCTGGAATCCTTACGGAAGAAGTGGGAGAAAAAGAAACCTGAAATGGACAGGAACTCCACAGGGAGAACAACAGAGCCTAAAAACCTGGGCCCAGGGGTCCTACAGAGACCAATACTCCAACCAAGAACCTTGCATGGAGAGGACCTAGTCCTCCTGTTCAGAGGAATCCCATAGTCTGCTCAGTTTCTGAGTGGGCACCCTAGTAAGGGGAACAGCGGCTGTCTCTGACATGAGCTCAGTGGTGGAGTCTTTGTTTACCTTCCCCTGGGGGTGAAGCCTTGCCAGGCCACAGAGGTAGATGATACAACCAACGTTGATGAGACCTGATAAGCTAGGGTCAGATAGAAGGGGGAAAAGTTCCTCTCCTATCAGGGAACTAGGGAAAGGGGATAGGAGGAGAAGAGGGAATGTGGATGGGACTGGGAGGAGATCAGAGAGGGGACTACAGAGGGGATACAAAGTGAATAAATTGTATTTTATTAATTAATAATTACAATTAATTAATTAAAAATTAAATATTGGTATCTAAATGAAACTAAGAAAATGAACACATGTACACACATGAGCACACAGAATGTATATATGTGTTTTATCATTGTGTTGAATAAAGAAACATCTCTAAGCCACTTTTGACTTCTTCAAAAGCAGTGTGTTTACCTGTGTAACAGAGTGAAGTACTCCTTCCAAGTTCACATCTTATTAATATAATCACTCAACTTCAGACTTCAGACTTCAGACTTCAAAGTATCCTTATTTCTCTACTCAAAAGTTTCCCTCATTCTTTTTTAAATTTAATTTATTTATTACAATTTATTCACTTTGTATCCCCTCCGCAGCCCCCTCTCTGATCTACTCCCAGTCCCACCCACATTCCCTCTTCTCCTCCTATCCCCTTTCCCTAGTTCCCTGATAGGGGAGGAACTTTTCCCCCTTCTATCTGACCCTAGCTTATCAGGTCTCATCAATGTTGGCTGTATCATCTACCTCTGTGGCCTGGCAAGGCTTCACCCCCAGGGGAAGGTAAACAAAGACTCCACCACTGAGCTTATGTCAGAGACAGCCCCTGTTCCCCTTACTAGGGTGCCCACTCAGAAACTGAGAAGACTATGGGATTCCGCTAAACAGGAGGACTAGCTCCTCTCCATGTTAGATTCTTGGTTGGAGTATTGGTCTCTGTAGCGCCCCTGGGCCCAGGTTTTTCAGGTCTGTTGTTTCCCCTGTGGAGTTACGGCCCCTCCAGGTTTTCCCTTGTGAATGAGAATTAAACATCTTCCCCAGGGTTCTTCTTGTTGTTTAGCTTCTTTAGGACTATAGATTTTAGTATGGCTATCCTATAATATATGGCTAATATCTACTTATAAGTGAGTATATATCATATGTGTCTTTCTGTTTCTGAGTTACCCCACTCAGGATGATCTTTTCTAGTTCCCACCATTTGCCTGCAAATTTCATGATTTCCTGACCCAGAAATATACTCACAAACCTATGGAAACTTAATTTTTGACAAAGAAGTCAAAGCCACACAATGGAAAAAAGACAACATCTTCAACAAATAGTGCTGTCATAACTGGATGTCTACATGTAGAAAAATGCAAATAGACCCATATTTATCACCCTGCACAAAGTTAGAGTCCAAGTGGATCAAAGACCTCAACATAAAACGAGACACACTAAGTCTGTTAGAAGAAAGAGTGGGAAAGAACCTTGACCTCATTGTCACAGGAGACAACTTCCTGAACAGAACACCAACAGCACAAGCTCCAAGTCCAACAATTAATAAATGGGGCCTTATGAAACTGAAAAGCTTCTTTAAAGCAAAGGCCACTGTCATCAGAACAAAATGACAGCCTACAGACTGGGAAAGGATCTTTACCATCCCTACATCTGACAGAAGTGTAATATCCAGAATATATAAAGAATTGAAGCAGTTAAACACTAACAAACCAAATGACCTAACTAAAAAATGGAGTATGGCACTAAACTGACTTCTCGACAGAGGAATATTGAATGGCAGAGAAACGCTTAAAGAAACGCTTAAAGTCCTTCTTCATTTGGGATATGCAAATCAAAATGCCCTGAGATTTCACCTCCCTCATTCTTAACTCAGAAAACTTCTTTTGTATCATAGGTCTAGTAAAATGACCTTATTTCTGTGAATTGTTTTCTTATTACGTACCAATAGGTCTCTATCTGGGGCAATGCTTCAGATTTTATGTAGCAATTCTCACCCAGGTAATCTTGCCAGCCCTAACATTTTACTCACCTTTATTTGTTTTATATTTGTTGCTTTCTCTACCCTCTCTCCTTTCTCCATTCTTTAAGATTCATTCAACACAATCCATTTCAAGCAATCTTTGTCTCCAGCTCCTCCTTCAATTTTCCCTACCATGTGCCTCTATTTTTTTCCTTTTAAACTTTTTTTTTTAAATAATGAATGTTTTATCGTGATCATTATCACTACTACACAGAAGTTAGAAACAGTTATGTTCTTTTTTTTCTGTATTTTTTTATTTTTAATTACACTTTATTTACTTTGTGTCCCCCCTCTAGTTCCCTCCCTCCTCCCCTCCCAATCCCTCCCTTCCTCTCCCTTCTCCATGCATGCCCTTCCCCAAGTCTACTGGTAAGGCAGGGTTTCTTTTTCTTCCTTCTGATCTTAGTCTGTTAGGTCTCATCAGGAGTGGCTGCATTGTCTTCCTCTGGATACAGAAATTGTAGTACATCTACACAATGGAATATTACTCAGCAATGAAAAACAAGGAAATCATGAAATTTGCAGGTAAATGGTGGGAACTGGAAAGGATCATCCTGAGCGAGCTATCCCAGAAGCAGAAAGACCCACATGGCATATACTCACTCATATAGACATATAATATAGGATAAACCTACTATAATATGTATACCTAAAAAAAAACTAATCTAGAGGGAGGTCTCTGGCTAAAATGCTCAATCCCCATTTAGAAAGGCAAAGAGCATGGACATCAGAAGAAGAAGAAAACAGGAAACAAGTTAGCTGCCTCCCACAGAGGGCCTCTGAAAGGCTCTGCCCTGCGGACTATCAAAGCAGATGTTGAGACTTATGGCCAAACTTTGGGCAGAATGCAGGGAATCTTATGAAAGAAGTGGGAAATAGTAAGATCTGGAGAGGACAGGAGGTCCACAAGGAGAGCAACAGAACCAAAAAATTTGAACACAGGGGTCTTTCCTGAGACTGATACTCCAACCAAGGACCATGCATGGAGATAACCTAGAACCCCTGCACAGATGTAGCCCATGGCAGTTCAGTGTCCAAGTGGGTTCAATAATAATGGGAAGAGGGACTGCTTCTGACATGAACTGATTGGCCTGCTCTTTGATCACCTGCCCCTGAGGAGGGAGCAGCCTTTTAAACTGTTTAATAACTGAAAATACATTGAAACATAATATTGTCTTTCTACTAGGTTATAAGTTTATTCAAAGTATAAATCTTGTCTTTGGTTTTTATTGGAATGACATCTGGTGTATTACATGCATTGGTTATTTATTTTTAGAGGTAGTAAATGGAATCATTCTTTTATTGGAATTCTTAACCAAGCACATATCAAAACATGCTTTAACACTGTTATGTATCTGTCTTGACAATGACTGAAGGTGTTTTGTTTGTCAATTTCTATATTTTTGAAAATCCATAGCACATGAATAAATCCACTCTTTTAAGACTTTCCTTTTGTACATATAGAAATTATGTTTTCTGTGGGACATTGGGTCACTCTGATAAAGTCAAAGACAAGTAATGTGGAGGATTCAACTGTTCCAAAACGAATCCAGAAGTAACCAGTATTTTGTCTGTTTTATAGCTATATGACCTCAATGCATAAACTAAGACAGCATACAATTATTTATTCCCCTTAGGAAAAACCGCCATTGCAACAAATCATTGTCATTTACTTCATCAGGTTCCATTTTATTTGCTCTGCACAGCTACTGAAGAACTGAGCCATGACTGGGCAGTTCTTGATGTGTAAATGTGCTAACAGTCTGCTTAGTTTTCAAGTTTCTCATTTCCCACTGAACAGTTTAACAGTTTGCCTAACTAATAAGAGGTGCTTCCATTACCTGAAACAAAGCGCTGGGGTAGGAGTGTTACTAAAATAACTTTATTGAAATTTCCTTTCGTGCATACCTGGGAGGAGGCACATTGCCATGGAGACTGGGTAAAGGGGAATATGCATTTCAAACCAAAGATGCAGCCAGTGCTGTGATGTTAGGGGATCAGCATTTTCCTTTATGTTTGAAACCAAGTTTTCCCAAACTTCTTTCCCTGAAAGAGAAGAGATGGTGTTCAGAGGTGAAGTGTAATAGAAATGGATTCGTTCTGGGCTGGGTAAAGTGGGCAAATGTTGATTTTCTAGGTTTCAGATTTTATTTTATTTTATATAAAATCAACCTTAATAGACTAGTAAATTAACAAACACTTCATGGACTCCTACCACTGGACCCAGCCAAGAACACTACGTTACCAGAAGTGCTATTTGCTTACATGGCGGTTTGGCAGAATTCACAGCGGTTTTGGTAAGTTTTCCCGTCTGTGCCACACACTGGTTTGTAAATATTTGGGCACGATTTTCCATCTGCAGAAAGTGTCTTCTCATAGTTGCTGCAAAAAGCCTGTAAATTAAGGAAAGTATTTTTAGTTCATTTCTTATGGAACATAAAAAAATAGTCTTATGTGCCTCAAAATTCTCTCAAGAGCCTGTGTTTTATTTTGAAAATGAAAATACATTGAAAAGAAAAGAACAAACCCACTTAATAAAAACAACTAAAATTGCAGGGGCTTCTTGTTAGCAGTTTATTGTCTTTCTGTCACCTTTCTCTGGGCAGTGCTGCTGCATGTACACAGCATTGAATTACACATATACTGCAGGCTTCTTTTTTGCTTACATTTCTGCACGTTCTTGAGGCAGCATGATTTAGTAGCATACTATTCCACCACAAATGCGACACAGCTCACCACTGATAGACACACTTTTGACCCAAGATGTCCACTTTACTTTAACATGACATCTTTAAGAAAATTATGATCTTCATTTTTCAAAATATTTTTTACTTACTTTTGTATTAGACCATAAAGAAATAAATTTTATTTCTTTGCCAGTTAATCAACTCAGAAATGGTTGATTAAGCACTCTGTGCCAGGACCTTAGATTTCAAATACAGCATGACCAATGCCACAGGAAGGACTCTTCTAGAAACTCTTCCCCCCAAACTATCTCTCACTTTGAAAAATAACCTAACGAGAACTTAGATTTTACCATGAAAATGATACTTTCGGACAATTTGTAAGAATTTATTTTTTAAAAAGGCTGTCACATAACCCAAGTCATCTTCAATCTTATGCAACAGGAATTTGTGAGATTTGAATACAATCTACAATCATAGATGAGTGAATTTGTTGTGTCAATACAAATCTCCTGCTATGATGTTTGTACTAAGATTAGCAGCTGAAAACGATAACTAAATTGTGTGTCCATTTCTCTGCACTGTTTGTCCCCATGTCCCTGTTAGTCACACTACTTCCAAAGAATGAATACAAAAGAGAATAGTTTTACCCATGAAAGTAGAAAAATGTTTCAATTAAAAAAAAAAAAAAGGTCTCAATTTTGAAACCTTTCACCAGCAACCTTAATCTATTTTTTAGGTAAGATGTATAGATTAAAGAACTATTTTAAGGTTTTTTTGTTTGTTTGTTTAAACTGGAATATTCTCAGAAACTAACAGTCTTATGTCATTTACACACACAGTGGTTTTCTTGTATATTCTATAACAATACTGAATGTTTCATTCATTCTTCAATCTAGCCAGCAGAATGGCCAGTAAGCAGTTATTTATTTGTTGAATTAGTGCCATGTTGGAGCTCTAGGTGTCAAATGCTTGGTGTCCTGCACAACAGGGATAATTATCTTCTAGGACAAGAGAGTAGCATCCACAGAAGCATCTGTACACAGTACTAGATGCACAGGGACTTTGCCTGCTGGATTGACTGAGACAGATCCTATTTGTGGTGATCTCTCTATCATGATTTTCTCTCACACAGTTATCTTAAGTTGCTAGGCTTGGTGGCATACATCTAGAGGCAAATGGATCTCTACGAGTTTGAATCCAGCCTGGTCTACACAGAGAGTTTCAGGGTATCTAGAAATACATAGTGAGACCATCTTTGAAAAACATTATCTTAGCCAAGGTGTAGTGGTGCTCACCTTCAATCATTAGGGGAGGCAGAAGCAGGCAGATCTCTGTGAGTTCAAGGCCAGCCTTGTCTACAAAGTGAGTGCAGGTTAGCCAAGTCTACACAGAGAAACATCTAAAAAAAAAAAAAAACTCTAAAACAACAATAATAACAACAATAAAAATCCATTTTCTTAACTTGAAAAATAATGCTGTTTACCCTACATTCACAGATAATGCACTATTATAGAGGCTTGAATGAGGCATCTAGTCCTTCTGAGGAACTTTGACTTCTGTCTGTCAAGAAAACAGTAAGTGACATGCAAGTCTTTTTTTTCTTACTGTTTACAAAAAGACATCTGCAATAATGTTTATATTTGGTGTGGAATATGTGTCATACTGTTCTCCAACCTTCTCCCAAAGCTGGACATCCAGAAGGAATCCGTGGAAGGGCTGCAGTGCTTCCTTTAGTAAGGGGACCATTGTGATGGGACTTTCTGGGATAGAAATGGCTAGAGAAAGAATGAGAGGCACATACCTGAAAGCCACCTTGGCTCACAGCATCTGCAGGAAAGAACGGATAGTGATACATCACATGTCAGGACTGTAGCATTTTCCAGTTGCAGCTAACCACAAGTGTCTTCTGTTGCATCTATTTTGCTTTGTGGATGGAGAACTACACAGAGACACACTGCACCCCATGGGAGGCCGAGAGGCAGGCTGCATTACCCATGGCTAGGACAACATTGCTCTCATTATGTTTGCTCTTTTGCATACTTTTATGCAATCATGTTTTCCAGATTATGAATTATCTCATAACAGGCCTTTGAAGGTACAGTCTAGAGCTGTTCTTTGTTATACAGGTATATATTTACTAGAAGGGAACTGAAAAATTTTGAATTAAAAGCTTTTCATAAAAGAATGTGGATATAACATACGAAATAATTTTTATTTTAATTATTTTTATTTTATTAATTGCAGTTTATTCACTTTGTATCCCCCTTGTACCTCCCTCTTTCTTCCCCTCCTGATCCCACCTTTCCTCTTCCCCACCCATGTCCCTCTCCCAGTCCACTGGAAAGGGAGGTCCTCTTCTCCTTCCTTCTAATCCTAGTCTATCAGGTCTCATCAGGAATGGCTGCATTGTCTTCTTCAGTGGCCTGGTAAAGCTGCTCTCCCCTCAGGGGTTGGTGATCAAAGAGCAGACCAATCAGTTCATCTCAGAGACAGTCCCTGTCCCCATTACTATGGAACCCACTTGGACACTGAACTGCCATAGGTTACCTCCATGCAGGGGTTCCAGGCCATCTCCATGAGTGGTCCTTGGCTGGAGTATCAGTTTCAGAAAAGACCCCTGTGCCCAGACTTTTTGTATCTGTTGCTGTCCTTGTGGAGCTCCTGTCTTCTCCAGGTCTTACTATTTCCCACTTATTTCATAAAATTCCCTGCACTCTGCCCAAAGTTTGGCTCTGAGTCTCAGCATCTGCCTCGATACCCCACAGGGTAGAACCTTATAGAGGTCCTCTGTGGTAGGCTCCTGTCCTGTTCCCTGTTTTCTCCCTCCTCCCATGTCCATCCTCTTTGCCTTTCTGAATGGGGATTGAGCATCTTAGCCAGAGTCCTCCTTCCTGATTAGCTTCCTTAGGTGTACAGATTTTAGTATGTTTATCCTATATTATATGTCTAATATCCACTTATGAGTGAGTATATACCCTGTATTTAAAATTCAATAAATCCATGTGTATTCATAAGAATTAATGCATTAAAAAAATCTTACCTATATCAACTCATATAACAAGCCTCGTTTTTAAAGCCACGGAAGGCCGTTTGTGATTGCGCATGTTTATAATTCCGGAACCCAGGCGTGGGAGCAAGTGGATCACTGACAATTGAAAGGAAATCCTGGTCTACCTAGCAATTGCCAGGCCAGCAAGGCCTGCGTAGTTAGACCCTGTCTCAAGAAAACAAACCAAAGTAAACCGAAACCAAAACAACAACAAAAATGCCCCAAACAACACAACACAAAACAAAACCAACAGAAACAATAATTTCAATAAAACCTACCAACAAAATAACAAGCTAAGGAAACTGAGTATTGGGACAAGCATTTGGCTCAGTGTTAATACTCATATGTTATCACCGGCCGAGGAAGGGATACAATCTAGACTGAATAGAAAGCCAAGCTTAGGAAGCACTGGTTTTGCCTTTGAAGGACACATCAGTGTGCATGGGTTTCCAGTGCACCATTAGCATCAATTCAGCATAGTAACCAGGGCACGAAGGTGGCTTATTCAGTACGAGAAAGGATGGCAGAAGATGGACATTGGAACCAAGCCTTGGAATGCCAGTCCTGGGCTCTTTCTTCTCTCCCAGAGCATCGAAAAGTTGTGTCTCCTCTCCCTACCCTCCTCTCTTTCTCTTTCCCTAATTATCTTTTAAATTTTGTTTACCTAGAGGGCATAAAAGAATGACTAGATTTTCGTGCCACATCTCTCAAGAATTCTGACAATTGAAGTTCATTAAATAAGTTTCTTTAAAGTGCTGTTTTAGGAGAGTTTGTTTCTGTATCGATGTTTTGCTAATGAAACATAATACTAGCTTATGCCTGTTGTGGTGGCCTGTAATTCCTAAATCAGACCAATTTTAGTCAGTTCTAAAAACAACCTTCTCATCCTATACAGGGTGAAACTGGTTTTGGAATTGAATAAAAGTGCTTTAAGCAGAACACTGTAGTAAAAATTAAAATATATACTATGTATAATATATATCATTTATATACTAAAATTCCACTGAGATTAAAAAAACTTGGACCATCATTCACCGCTGTTATCATCATAAATAAAAAACAACAACATCTGCATAGTTTTGCACTCACCTGCATAGAGGAACAAACAGGCCAGGCCGATCAAAAGTAGAAAGGCACCTGCTGGCTTCATGTCCGTGAGGACTTGGAGGTCTGAGGAAACAGAAATGTTAACAAGGTTCAGCACAGTGGAGGAAGTTCTCCGGCCTGTATTTATAAGCAGATCTATATGTGTGAATCCAAGTACCTGTTTGTCACTCGGCCACATCCTCTACCCCTGTTATGCAATTGATTTCCCTGAAGAATAGACACTAGATGCCAACGAAACTCATTTCAGGCCCCTTCCAGTCCAGAACAATAATAAAAAATGATGTTTAGACGTAATGAAGTATGTTATAAAAAGCACACCCCAAATTTCTCCTGAGCACCACACAGTGATAATTGCAATTGAATCTTTACTTTGCAATGCATATGCTTTGGACTTGTCTGTAACAGAGCCTTAGGGCCACAAAGCTAATAACTGTAACTTGGAATACAGTCTGAATAATTTGTGTATAATATTATTAGGGTTTGGCAGCATAACTATGAGGAAATGAAAAATGTTGATGTGAGGGATTTTGAGGTCATAAAATTTATTAAATAAAATAGGAGCACTGCCTGAATGGTCATAGAGAGAGAAATGCTAGACATTTCTCTAGTATTTACAAGGCTGTTTCTTTTAGCTCCTTGATTGGAGACAGTGTCTACATGATGGTTGCTATTTAATATTTCTTAACAGAATAATTTTTATATGTCAGTTTTAGGCATTAGACATATATGAAAATCATGGTTGTCTTTTTTTTTCTTTCTCAAACACCTCACACATGGTAACTTTTGTTGTTCTACAAGAAATAGTTCTGAACTAGAAACTGGAATAGCTCATTCTGCTTTGTGTATTATATAAACAATGTAATAAAGGCTCACTAGCATGATCACCTAATCATGAGCTGCCCAAGGACATCAAAAATAATGTTCAGGCACAATGAAGTACATTATAAAAAGCACACCCCAGTGGGCGTGTCAAAGTGAGCAGGATAGGCGCTACAAGGCCTCAACCCTACACAAATTGCTACACAAAGTCAACCAAGGAATGCAAAGAGTAGGAGAAATAGTCCACTCCAGGGAAGACCATACCCATTAGTTCTCCAATAAAAACATGTAAATACAAGTAACATTATACAGAATGAACTTGTTGTATTTAAGAATATTATGTATATATGTGCATATGCATGCAAAAATAATTAATAAAAAAATGATCCCGTGAATTTGAAAGAGAAAAAGGAAGGGTGTATGGGAGGGCTTTCAGGGAGAAAGGAGAAGAGAAAATGTCTTAATTATATCATAATCTCAAAAAAAGAAATATAAGTTCAGATATTATCTGCATAGGAAAGAGTTCCCTGACATTTACAGTACTGTCATCTTAAATAAGACTGATGTTTTCTGTGAGTCCATGGGCATCTTGGTCTTCATGAGGGTCTCCTACCAATTAGAATGGGGTCCATCTCTGACATGGACTCTGTTGCCTGCTTTTGGATCACTTTTCCCTGACTGGGCTGCCTTGTCTGGCCTCAGTGGAAGAGGATGCACTTAGTCCTGATGAGACTTGATATGTCAGAGTGGGTTGGTGAGGGGGATTGCTCCTTTTTTGAGAAGGAGGGAGAGGAAACGGGGAAGAGGGTAGAAGAGTGGGAACAGGATCAGAGAGGAGGGAAAGAGAGGACTGAAAACAGGATGTAAAGTGAATAAACAAATTAACTAATGAGAAAAATAAAACCAAACAAACCCTCAAAACAAAATTCCTTTAAAGATCTAAACCTTTTGTTTAAATTAATAATGAATTAATTCATTAAAATTATATATTCACCAATAACTCAATTTATATTTATAAATACACAAACATGTACAAGTACAGGACCATACAAGCTAGGAAATAACCAAATGGATTGTTCTTTTTCCTGAGTTGGCAGGACTGTAGAATGTGTTGAATGTATGTGTACATAGACATTACTTGCCAATGAAAAGCAATAAAAATTCATTTTCCTTTAAAAAAAATAACTAGACACTGATAATTTCAGGTATGATTGTTGATAACAAAGTAACAAAGACATTTTTCATAGAACTTACACTCTTTTTCTTGAACACTTGAACTTGAAACCTACAGTTTTGAGGAAATTACTGTGTTCTGGAAATTTAAAAATGAGAAAAAGAAGCTCGCATATAACATTAAAAAATAATTAACGTTATATATAGACAGGTAAGATAGCGCTGAGAGAGGGCATTCATTATAAGTAGTATGTATGTGTTTTGAAAAGGAGATAGTGATGACTAGGTTCTTAAAACACTTGGCCTTGGGAGTTATTGGTCTTGAGGCACATAAGCAAATACCCAAGAGTCTGATAATGAGAATTACTATAAGAAAATAATAAAAATTTAATGTGTAATTTTGTAGGTAACTTTTTTGGTGCTGGGACTTTGGACGTATTAGCCAAATGCTCCTCTATTGAGTGCCATCATTGATGAATGTGTAGTCTTGGAAATGAGAATAATTAAGTGTTATATTTAAATTCAGAGAAAGAACTGAAGAAAAAAAAGTGGTTTTGGCTGTTTTCTTTTTGTTTCTGGAGTCCATTAAATTTCCTTTTAAGACCATGTGGTGCACTCTCCTTCACACAACCTGTTTTTACTCTTTGGAAGTATGTTTTATATTTTGGATCTATTTTCCTTGTAAATACCTAACAGTTTTCATTATTCTTGTATGTTCTCAAGCATATAGGATAATTGAATTAATAATTTTGTTAATATATAATTTTATATGGGCACTTTCTGCTACATTTATACACGTGATAGTGTTCAGATAAGAAAGTATCTTTTTCCTTTTCCTTTGGAAAACAGAGATTGTGAATTTCATTTTGATAGAAATTTGATATTTCTGTATTTGTATAAATAACTTTAATTTCTTCACTTTCATCACTTGAAAGTAGCCTTCATTTCCATTTTCTGAGGTCTGCTTTGAAACTTTCTTAGATGCATACAAAGTAACTTTCGATCCCAAGCCAGCGTTGCTGTATTACAGAGATCCTGTGTCTCATCCTCCAGACTAGATCTAGGCTAGATGTCATCATTCTCCTCTTCTTCCTCCTCCTCCTCCTCCTCCTCATCATCATCATCTTTCTGATGCATGTGTACATGCATGCAGAGATGAGGTAGTAGCCAATTCTTTCCTTTCTCATTATGTGAGTTCTGGTGATAGAACTGGGGTCATTAGGCTTGTGTTGCAAGTGCATTTACCAACTAATCCAATTAACCAACTGATTCCTTGAGTTTCTTAATACAGACATGGGGATCACCGTGTAACGGAGGACTGGAGAATGCTTCTCTGAGCCCTGTCCTTTGCCTTGTTGGCTCCACGTGCCTTGTTATCTCTCACAGAAACCACAGCGGCACTAGTAGGGGCTCCCTCCGGATGCGACACCTGGAAATTCCTTAGAGGTAAATTGGTGTCACTTTACCTTGTGAAGGATGTTGTGTTACATATTTTGTCTGGCACATTAATTACTACACCTTCTATCATATCTTTAAGACTTCAGTCTTATTTTTTTAAATCTTTGTTATGGCTTTCAAAAAGCTTTCTACCTTTTATGTTAAGTGACCCTTTCTGGTTTGAGAGTGTAATTCAGCAGTAGAGTATGGGCGTAGCTCACAAGAGACCCTGGGTTTCATTCTAGCAGTTAAAATATAATGAAGACATTATTTTAATATTAATACTTCATTTATTCAAGTTGGGGAATTATACATTGTTACAGAGTTTTATAATATCTAAAAACTGATCTGAAAAGTTACCCCATTAGTTCTCTGAGACTAAGACTGGCAGAGAAATGGTTAAATAAGAGACAAGAGACATGATTAATCAACTATTTTGTATGGGGAAAATATACAGTCTTACAATCAATAGACCTGGAATCTCATGTTAACCTTGGTTATTACTCTTGGTTATTATAAATTCAAACCATATATAACTTCTCTCTTTCTCTCTCTTTCTCTCACTCCCTCTTTCTCTCTATCTCTCTCACACATATATACACATGAATATGATTATACATATATACATATGGTAATCATCATCATCATATATATTCATAAATGTGCAGTTTTAGAAAAAAGATTTATAGTTTCTTACTCTAAAATACTTATAACAATACAGTTTAAAACATATCTTTTGAAAAAAAGTTATATTAAATGTTGACTAAGTGCATAGATAAATGTAAGAGCGAGTGGTTATGAAGTCTGAAGTACATTTCTGGAATTCCAGGCAAAAGAGGAAAAACAACATGTTAAATAAGTTTGGATTGTCTAAAGGAGCAAAGTATAGCTATCATCCTTGTATTTTGGTTCTTATCAATTCTAATAGTGAAGTATTGCAACTACACAGCAAAACACAAAAAGCTGTGAAGATGCATATATGTGGTACTTTCTTCATTTACTAACAGTTATTAACATTGTAAATATTTTATGATTTTTTTAATTAAATGGACCATTTTTTTAAGATTCTGAAGGAACTATGGCAAATTAAAATGCTGAGAAGCCAATAAAATGCCACAGTACTCATCTGGAGGTCAGAGAAAAAGTTATGGAGTCAGCATTGCGGCTTCAACATCATGGCTTTCTGGGAATGAACGCAGGTCATCAAGTATCATCATGTGCTGAACCACCTTCCCACCTTGAAATTTAAATTCCAAACTGTCATCCATGAAAACATACATATAAGTGACATTATATGGAATGAGCAGGTAGTATTTGGGAATATATATGTGCACATTTACACATATGTATGTAATAACAAGGATGAACAAAAGGCCATGAATTTGAAAGAAAGACAGGTATATGGGAGTGCTAAAGGCCAGCCACGATGGTCAGATCCTGTAGAGAAGATAAAGAGTCAGGCACTGGGGTAGCGGGAAGTCTTGCAGCCTGACTGACTGGCAGTCAGAGTACTTCTTTATTTAATCAGAACTGAGTAGGCAGGGCTACATTCATGCCGCTCCAAAACAGAGATCATATCAATTTTGTCTCCAGTCACATGTTTTTAGCTTCCTCTTGATCATAAGTTTAGTCATAGTTGAGAAACTG